TTATTTAACCTTGACCTTGACCTTGATCATATTTCCCTTCCACTCTATAACTCGGCCCCTAATCGACCTAGCGCGACCAAACTTCGGACGCTTACACATCTTGGGGAGAACACGGGAGATACATGTAGTTGGCGACAACTGCCCTTTCTAGTTAGTTTTGACTATCATAAGTCTATGTTGTTATAACATTTGCGGAATACTTCGTGTTCAAAAGTTGTGACTTCCTATAGGTATTGTACTACTTATGATGTTTCTGATAACCAGTGTGTCCAGTATCAGTCTGACTGCCAATTTTCTGCAGGCTACACTTGCAGCTAAGGAGAAGGCAAAAGAGGATGAGAAGTTCTACAACCTGCTGGAATTTGCGAACGAGAATTTTAATGAGCATCCAGTGACTGTTGCGCGCAGCGGCCGCATGTCTCTTAGAAAAGGCTCCAGCAATGTGAGAACATGTGGGAAAGTGGCATTAGTAGTAGTGATGCAATAGTACAGATGCAGTAGTAGCAATAAAAAAATTCCCCAGAGGTTCGGTCAACTCATAGTCATTTTTTATTTAACAAAGTATTTGAAAACGCATTACTAATGTCTTTATTAGTATAACTGGGGTTCAGTATATTTATTTCCATTCTATTTTTCTTATTGTGAAAATCTCCCTTGCAGGTTGCTCCTATGTCAAAGTCTGACATGATCATGTACCTCGACCAACCACACATCATGACTTCCCACATCAACTTGTATGATCCTGCTGTAGTTATAATGGCTATTACAACATTCAAGGTAAGCTTTGAGGAAATAAATAGCTGTCAATAATAATGATCAGTGCAAGTGCAGGTATCTATTTTCAGTAATCACATACGTTTCACTCATACAGTAAGTGAGTTTCAAGCACTTATTACAAATGGAAATAATTGAGAAAAATTATGCATGACAACACAGGAAATCTGGAAGTATATGCATGGAGAGGTGAAGCAAGATGACAACGCTGTCGTGAGACATATCGTGGCACGTTGTATCGAGAACGAGGCGCTGAGAGATGAGGTATATTGCCAATTGATGAGGCAAACTAATGGATGCCCATCGCAGGATGCACTGCTGCGAGGGTGGGAAATGATGACATTCTGTGCTTCGTGTTTTTCACCAAGCAAGTCTCTCAGTAAAGTAAGTGGCAATCAAGATCTTTCTTTATCCTCAACCACACACTTTTCACGTTGTTTCTTGTTACTTTCTTTCATCAAATGCCATTTGGATGTTAGCGATATAGAAAATGCTTTACCGTTTTTTTGGAACATAGCTTTTAAATTTTTAAAGGAACAAATGTTTTCAATCACACAATTCATCTGTACTTTTTATTTATTTCTTATAAGATACAGAAACCCTCCAATTTTCATCAATTAATAATAATAATTTAGTCAGGCACAGGATTTCTGCACAGAAGTTTGGTATATAAAGAAGTAAGAGTTGTGGCCATAAAGGTTAATTCTGTACAGTGGTACAAGTTATATGAAACTCACTGTCATGAAGCAATTCCGATGTAACTTTGACTAATTAATGTATGTCGTTGGTATTTCCAGTACCTAATCTCCTATCTGAAGAAACATTGTAACGTTGAAGCTCTCAGCAAGTATGCGAAGACAAGTCTAAGGCACCTGAGAGTTGCACGCATCACCCCGAGAAAGATGCCACCTTCAGACACAGAGATTAAAGTACGTTATTTACAAAACAAGTCCATTTTAAAGTGGTTTCCAAGCTGCTATTATTATTATTATTATTATTATCATCATTAGTATATTCATTCCTTGATTTAATAACAGGTCATTGGTAAAAGTGAGGATATGAACTTGCAGGCTCCTCACCTTATCTGGAATTCGCAGTATAAATGTGCTAATTGAAACAAGTGAAACAGTGCTTCAGGGTAGTCTTTTTAAATGGCAGGTACAGCTGCCAATTTGTCGCTTCTATTGCATATTATATGTTATAATTTGCAAGTGGCAGCAATACTCGTAGCTCCTCAACTGGTGCATGCACGTTTTCTTGCAGGCTCTGCGAGGATTCGGGCTCATAGTTTGCCGTTTACGATTCTTGGACGGCATGTCGAAGGCAGTGGACATCCAGTCGTATGACTGCGCTGAAACTGTGGTGAAAAGTGTGTCAGAAAGGATCGGTCTGAAGTCTACAGATGGATGGGCTCTGTATGAGGTATAGAAATGCAGGGGAAATATGTTTTTCCCTTATTTAGTTCCACCTAGTAGCCAAAGTTGTAAGATATCTCATTGCTAATGCATCCTATCTCTGCGTTTGTAAAACACATGGCGAAAAAACACGCGTAATAATATTTCTCGTTGGCTGAGTTCGTCTGACTACATACTTATACAAGGCCATAGCTTGAGCAAATTTATACTTGAAAGGGCAAAATTAGGTAAATCTGTTGAGTCCCAGTCATCGTACGTAGTGTTGGGCCAGTTTCAGGTGGGATACAAGGATTTCGTGGATGACTACATGATTATTGCCATTTATTTTAAGGTTATTCACATTTTTTAGACATTAATTACTAGCAGGACACCCAGCGTTGCCCGGGAAATAAAGCGCTCAGTTGGTGACCACTTGGTTGAAAGAAAAATACCCAAAAATATATCTATCTATCTATCTATCTAGCTATGTATGTATGTATGTATGTATGTATGTATGTATGTATGTATGTATGTATGTATGTATGTATGCATGCATGCATGCATGCATGCATGCATGCATGCATGCATGCATCCAATACCATTCCATCCATCATACCATCCATCCAATTCCATCACCATCCATCCATCATCTACTCACTATAGGATCTATCTATCTATCATAGTCTATAGTGCTATAGTCTTGCCCACTCTTTATCAAGTCGGTGCAAGGTGAATGTTGTTACGACAATGACATGGCACATCTAACGTAATGCATGTATTGTAACTCAATGTTACGCACATTGTACCAGTCATGCAAGTCAGTGGCAAAGTGAATCCCGTCTGCATGGGCCGGTTTATTTACCCGGCTGCTACAGGGTGCGTTGATTGAACGCTGGTGCAGGGCATCATTTTTTCATCATTTTTTTCCTTTCGCGATGTCAGATGACCTCAGAGGTCAAATCCAATGTGCCCATGACATTCAGCATCCAAAGTTACATGTAATATGGACATATCTAGAGTGGCCATATTGATTTGAATCGAGAACAGACGAAACAGAGGAACTTCCACAAATATGTATTAGATTATTTATAATCTAATTTTTTTTCAAAAATCAGAGCTTCTCCATTACCCCCAACCCAGAGTCTATGGCCCCGATATACTAAATGCCTTTATATAATATAATGGCTTTCTCGGAATTTTTCTGGTATTTCTTAGGAATTCTAATGTTACGTATTTTCTGAATGTTTCTACAGTGTGTTGGGCATCAGGAGAGATTTATGAGAAGTCGGGAATATATATCTGATATCATTGCCAAATGGGAAAGGTAGTACACAATTCTTTGTCACTCACTAATTATATCTACAATAGTTTATACAAATTGCTAATTATGTACATAGTCGTATTTTACTTCATTGCCATTGTAATCTGTGCATTAGTTTAAACTAATGTTTCTGAGGGTGAGTCACCGTGCTCTTTGTTTTACTACAGTGGCCCAAAGAAAGACCATGGAGATTTCTTGGTGAAAAAGCGGCTGTTCAAGCTTCCAAAAGAAATGCCTCAAGACCCGATAGAGTACAGTCTTCTCTATGCACAGGCTGTTCACAGTGTGGTCAAGGTAATATAAACTGTTGCTAGAGTGCTACGGTAATCTCTGTAAGGCAATGGTAGGGTAACATCTACAGTATTGATGCATTATATGCATTCAAATTGTACAACTAATAACCAGTAATATCTTCTATTTCATATTTTTATAAATTTTTAAAATAATGGTGCCGCTCCACTCTAGCACTAATGTACGTGAAAATCCTATATATCATGTTATGTTGGCTGTGAACAGCTGGACGAATTTGGTGTGAGTGAGGTCACAGCAGTGCAGCTAGCTGGTCTTCACTGTCAGATACTGCTGGGAGAACCCTATGACAACAAACTGGACAGGTAAAGCTGACTTGATTCTTCTCAGTGACCTGTACATTCGGTGTTGATGAATGACAGATATATGCTTGGCTTTGATTCTAAGATGCCATATGTCAGATTCATGTTGATTGCAGTCTATGCCATCATGGCGTCTTTGCCATTGATGCTATTCCGCTAGACTAAGTATTGCTTAATTAATTTGCCTTGAGTGTAACAGGTCATATGTTACTTCTATTGGCATAACTGGCTAATTATCTGATTTTCATAGAAGGCGCTGTGCTGTGCTTTTGTGTACAGGTATGACGAGATTGGGCAATTCCTTCCTGAGAGAATCACGGCGGGAAAACCGAAACAAGACTGGCGGAGTGTGTTGGCTGAAGCACATAAGGTGAGTCAACCTTGTAATTCAGTCAACCGATATGTTGTCCAGTGTGTATTGATGTGTGATCAGTTGATTAAAAATCGTGATACATTGATATGACAATATTCGCCAACAACCTATAATAACCTATAATATATAAAGGTTGTTATAGTCGAGTCCGGCTCTGTTGGCGTGTTCTTTAGCCATGGCGAAAATAGAATTTGTTGACATATTGTTAAAATCTGCTATTCCAGCACTTCGAGTGATGGGTGTAATGGCATTCGCTTGATTATGCAATTATTTATTATTTCAAATTAGGAGTGTTTACTGCAGTGTGTACCACCCTAAGTCATCATCATTATCGTAGTTAGGTTGCTACGCTATATTATGTAGTGTAATGTATAATATCAGGAGTGAATAATAATAATAATAATAATAATAATAATAATAATAATCTATTATTATTCACTCCTGATAATATCGATAAGTTTTCGAGATGATTCACATATGCTATGCAGGAATATGGGAGTGGTAAGCCGACGCTGGTGGCTAAGGTGTGGTACCTTACCTGTGTGAAGCAATTCCCTCTGTATGGAAGCACTTTGTTCCCTGTCACCTACAAGGGCGCGTGGTCCCACAACAGTGACCTCTGCTTGGCCGTGCATGCAGACGGAGTAATGTTTGTTGATCAACGAAGCAAAGATATCTGGTGAGAGATTTGCTAAGAAAATCTGTCATGTATTTGGTTACATCACGTTTTTCTATACGGCAACTTTATGAATATTACATAAAATAATATCTTTATTATAATATAATAAAAATGTATACGTGTATTATATTTAAATGTGTAAACGCTACACATACAAGAGTTTAATTCTAGATATACCTATAGAGACACATAGACTATCTAATATCTTCTTAAAATTGGTATATTATTTTAAACAGACAGTTTGATACCAGTTGTATAAAAAAACGTGAATGTGTCTCTGTATAGTTAACGTGCAAACTTTTGTATTAAAATGCTGTTTGCTGTTTTTGTTGTGTCATTTTGTAACTCGGTAATGATGCTACGTTCTGCAGGTACCAGTACCGCTACGAGGAGTTTGAGTCCATCTCACTCGTTCCGTCTGAGGATTGCATCAACTTTGAGCTGAATGCTGAGGTTGCCGATGTACAGAAGAGCTTCACGTTCCAGACGCCAGACAAGGAGGATGTATCTGCACTGATCGCCAGCTATTCCCCTGCACATGCTAGCTGGCTGAAGACTGGCAGGCACGTGTCACGCAAGGTAGATGATTAATAAACAATCGCCAGATAGCAGCAGGGTAGACACCTGTCCTCTAGTTTAGCGAGAGAGCAAATACTTTCTATATGGTAGGAATGCGCATGTCCTATAGGGTGAATGTACGAAGAGCAGGTACCTGTACCATATTCTAGGAAAAGAGACAATGATCGAATAATATCAGGTTAGATTTATATTAAATTTTAATCTAGTATATTGCTGTGTTATCTAAATGTTCTAACTAGATATGAATGGACTACGGAAATAGTAACATAAAGCGTAATTTATGTATACACATTATCTGTTTATATATTAGCAGCATAATCAAATACTGATATTCGGAAATCTCATACGAATTCTCTATGGCAGCTCTGTAAAGCTGGGTTTACACTATGGAAAAATCTACAAGATGATAGGTTTTTCCACGTTCTATCAACCTCTATCAGATGTTCATAGCTTTTACGTTATCGACCGCGAGTCGGCAACAACATTTGACCCGAGGTGTGCGCGTGGGGCGACGTGGATACGCATTTTTAACGTATTAATTCGCGCCAGTGTGGTGCCAATAGCAAAAACGTACTCCCCCTGGGTGGAGGGACACACCTATGGTGGCCCAGTGTTATAATAGTTTATCACAAGTCTTCGACGTGGCCCACTGTTATAATACATAAACATAACCATATACCGCTGAGTATGGTGGCCCAGTCTTATAATAATTTATCACAAGTTTTCGACATGTATATGGTCTATGGTATATGGTCTATGGACGTGTGTATGGTATATTGTAATGTTTATGTATTATAACACTGGGCCACCATACTCAGCGGTATATGGTCATGTTTATGTACCACTACACCCCCTGATTGCTGTTCTCAGAGTGGCCGCATGGCAAAAACATGGTTAAATTCGCCGACACTGAGTTGCGAAAATAGAACATGTTCTAATCTCACAAACCAGTTGATATTAACCAGTTGCGCGTGAGTCTTTTACGTTTACCTGTTTACACTGCCAATTTTCGGTCGAATAATTGACAAATTTATCGGATTCATCAATTTTCCAGCAAGAAGTTGATAGTGTAAACCCAGCTTAAGACTTATAACAGTATTTTATTATCTGAATGTGTGTGTCAGTTGTTTCAGGTAATGACAACAGTAACAATATCTATATAGGCATAAAGCATTGCAATTTGTGCTTGTGTTCTTAGCTTTGCACTCATCTAGATTCTGCTCAACTGCTCAAGACGCTGCTGTGCCCATCCAACAGATCTCTCTCTCTCTCTTCTAATTTGTCTCACTTTCCCTATGCAGCTAGTACGAGGAAAGGAGAGAGAGAGGCTTCAGGAGGAGCTGATAAAATGTAGACAAGCACTGGTGGAGAAGGGCCTGCTAAGAAAACCCAATTATGATTCTGGCTCCACCTTCATGAGCACGCTCAGAAAGTACGCATAAGCATCTGCCATGCTAAAACAGTGGATAGAATAATAATGAATTGCTGATTTCTGAAGATAATTGCTTTGACATTTAGTGTAAGCAATTCCTGCTGATAATACAAGTTGATGTCTTTCAACGTCGTTTATGTGATGCGGACACTATGAATATTTGGATAATATGGTAGCTAATCGACCCCAAGAAATCGAAGCTAAATTGCTGTTTTTATGAAGTGCGTGATTTGCATTTTGATGGGATTCACGCTGAGTTCTACATGGCTGTCACAGGTTCAGGAAGGGTGGTGCAAAACTGAAAGACGAAGACGAGGCGAAGATATTTAAAGCGTACAACAAAGAATACTGGTCGTTCAGCAAAGCTCCGATCACCCACTCTTTGAGTGTCATGAATGAAGAGGCAGTAGCTTCTAAGCTCTTCTCTTCGATACTGATGTTCTCTGGTCTACAAAAATCTGGTATCTTAAATTGATCTTTACTGTGTGAGGCTATATAGTGTGTCCACAATTCAAGCACTATATATATATATATATATATATATATATATATATATATATAGTGCACTATATACATGTTATATAGCACTATATACATACTTTTATATCATATGTACATTTATAATAGACTTATTATATATACTCTATAGTCTATACTATACTTATATATATATACGATATTACATGTGTTTGTTTGAATGCTTGGGTAGTTGATAAACTCGAAGAACAATTCTGATAGATAGCAGACCAGTAAGCAGAAGAGTAATATCTATTTTTCTTAAAAATATTGCCTTGCAGATTTTATTTACATTTTCTGATGTTGATTTTCTACTTGCCACCAGGTGGACTTGGCTCGGTGTCTGACACCTTCGACCTAATCCAGAATGTCATGAGAGAATGTCTGGCCAGTGTTGACCTTCGCAATGAACTCTTCATGCAGCTCATCAAGCAGACAACTGATCATCCAGGTCAGCTTAGTAATCCAGATATAACTTAAATTGACTACGTTGCGAATTTTCTATGGTATACAGGGGTAGAAATTAAGTTTTGAATACGGGAGTCCAACAGACTCCCTACCCTCAAAAAGAGGGAGTCCGCAGCAAAATGATGGAGTCCGCAGTCTGAAGTTCAAAATTAAAGATATTAACAATAACACGTGCTTATTTTGAAGATTCATGCGGTTGCACGTCTGCCAAATTTTCCTTGGACATTTGCTGAAAAAATATGGTAATTCCACGAGGCCGTGCTCTGGAACGAAATAGTTAGTACCGTATAGCAGAATTAATTTTCAGGGAGTCACACGGACTCCTGCATATGTCAAATCAGGGAGTTCGACAGTAAATCTGGGAGTATTTGACTCCGAACTCTCGTTCATTTCGCACATTGGGTATATATTCGTAAAATTATTGTTGCAATTTTTTACATGAAAAGTAAGTACTAACAGCACTAAATGTTTCCTCAAATTCTTACCTGATAAGATTGTTTTCAACTAGTTAAAAATCCAAAAAATCTGGGCGATTTGATATATTGATCACAACAAAAGCTTGCTATGGGCTATGTATCAGTCACGCGTGTTTGTTCACATCGAACGAAATAGTAAAATAGGAAGTATAATGCAGCAATTTAACCATAAAAAGTGAACAGAATCACTTACATTTTGTGAATAAGTGGACATGATTTTTTTTACTTTTACTATTTACGGTGACGTAATCACGTTAATTGTAACCATGATGAAATAATAGAATTGATGAGTGAATTTGGATTAATTAGGCGAGTGTGATAATGGAGCCAAAGGAATAGAATCTGTCTAATAGTGAACTGTCAGTCGCATGTAAAGATCTTCCTAGTAGGGTTCTCCTCTGAAATCACAGAAGGCATGTTGTATATGAACTGATGGGGGAGGGTCTGGGAGGCGGTTGTGGCAATTGGAATCAATTACGAGTGTCATAATTGGCAAAAATACACATGATATATAAGTTTGATCAGTTCGGCTGCATATACATAAGCTGTAAAAAACAGCGTGACTGTGTTGGGATTGTCAAAAGTAAAAACACACCTAGAAATTAAGGCATGTTGATTGGGCAATTCAGGCATGTTGAAGAATTTATGGGATGTCACGAATTAGCTTCAACTTTGAAAACATGTTGGACCCGACATGTGTTAAAGGCCTGGGGAAAACCCTGAGAAGTATGCGTAATAGTGTAGAATATAGCAATACATGAAAAGGGTGGAGGCCTTATTTAAGGGATACTTAATTAAAACCAAGTGGATCTGTGCTACAGTAATAGCACTTAGGATTGTGTTAACAACATGACGAAAAAAAGATGGCATCACGTGCTTAGTATTGAGCTGAGATTTTCAACTGCCATTTCATATTTCATTCTCTTTTCTTTCTATTATGACAGAGAACCCAACAGCACATTTCATATTTCCCTTTCATTCTCTTTTCTTTCTATTACAACAGAACCCAACAGTACATTTCATATTTCCATTTATTTCATATTTCATTCACTTTTCTTTCTATTATGACACAGAACCCAACAGCACATTTCATATTTCCCTTTCATTCTCTTTTCTTTCTATTACAACAGAACCCAACAGTACATTTCATATTTTCATTTATTTCATATTTTATTCACTTTTCTTTCTATTACGACACAGAATCCAACAGCACATTTCATATTTCCATTTATTTCATATTTCATTCTCTTTTCTTTCTATTATGACACGGAACCCAACAGCACATTTCATCTTTCCATTTATTTCATATTTTATTCTCTTTTCTTTCTATTATGACACAGAATCCAACAGCACATTTCATATTTCCATTTATTTCATATTTCATTCTCTTTTCTTTCTATTATGACACAGAACCGAACAGCAAGGTAAATGTCACACACTGGCAGCTGCTGGCTGTTGCCTGCAGCGTCATGGCGCCCCCAGACAAGCTGATACTCAGCTACCTACAGTCCCACCTAAAGAAGTGTGCAGCTGACCATGCATCAGAGGAGGGCCAGCATGCGTATTTCTGTCAAAAGGTAGTAGCCAGTGTGTGTTTTTAAATCTAGAAATACATGCATGCAGGTGTGCGTGTGTATCTGTAGGTGTGTGTGTGTGTGCGTGCGTGCGTGCGTGCGTGCGTGCGTGCGTGCGTGCGTGCGTGCGTGCGTGCGTGCGTTGCGTGTGCGTGTGCGCGCGTGTGCGTGTGTGTGCGTGTGCATGTGTGTGTGCACACGAGTGTGCATATGTATGTGGAGTGCGTGTGTGTGTTCTGTCTGAAGTTATAATTGCTCGAAATATCAGCAGTATACATACATCATATATTAATCGCAGTTGAATATATAGAATAGAGAATTCTCTAGATGTATCTACTAATCATCTAAATATTGTGGTAATCGGATTTCAATAAATGGTATTAGGTCTATGGTATTAACTCAGAATAATGTAATTAACGGTATTGTTGTAGTGTGTCTGGCAAAGAGCATTGACCTGAAGAGGAAATGGCCGCCATCTACTCGTGAAATTGCTGCCTTATTGGAAAGTATGTACTTTGCTCGTTTGGATGCCACACCAGCCAATATTGTCTGTGTTACTATGACTATATTGTTACCGATCAGCTATCCTCAGTTGTCCACCTGGCAGTACTATAGTGATCAACCAATCGTGTTAGCGTTATGTGTATAGCAATAATTCATGACATTCAGGAATTAATCCATGTCATCAATTACACAGTGTGTTGTTGTTAAGTAATGATACTTTCATCATTAAACGTTTGGAACAAAATCAACTCAAACTAGAAACGGGCAAGTTGTCGCAACTACATGTATCCCCGTGATCTGTATGAATGGAATATCTCTGTAAGGACGTGAGAAGGCAGGTAAAGTTAAATAAGTCACAAAGACAAAGGTTTGTTAGACAACTGGTCTGCCTCAGATGTGCAAGTATATGGAATCTGGTTACCCTAGGAGGAATATTTTCACTTGTGAACAGGACCCCCCCCCCTACCCCCTTCTTGTACCGATGAGTTTTTGTCGTTAAATAATTGTCCGTAAGGACCTAGAGATGGGCAGCAGGTACCGATCGCCAAAATTCCGCAATGGCGACCTCGAAGCAAGCGCTGAAATGGTGTGTCGTTGAAATGTTGTTTTATTAACGTCTGTGACGGAAATATAGGCTAGTGACATAGCTTTCGTTCTTCGCCACGTTCGAAACCCTCCCGGTAGGAGGTAAAGGGTAAATTCCTTATGGCGTGTTTCGAGAAGATACGTGAATTTACGCGCGGGCCGTTAACCAGTAATGGCATAATCATTTCTGGCGGTGTTTGCCCTGTACATCACCATTTCTCAATACAACACAATCACACAGTTCCTGTCATAAAATATACTAAATACTGTAGACTCATACAGGGCATACAATAGGTACGCAGCAAAATGAGGAGTGGCGTTTGGTAACACTATCGTGATTTGAACAATCTGCGTTGATAGGATTAGGGTCATAATGACCAGACCTTTTAATCGTCAAAGACCTTAATAATTATAAGTTAGTATAATAATCAATGATATAATGGAATAATTACACAACTTGTTAGTAACGTCTGATCATGCCGTACATGACCAATCCCTTTCCGTCGTGCGGTCTTACACGTGTTTCGCGCACAGCGGCGGCAGGCGTCAAACCCATCTGGCCGGATGGGTAATATGTATATTATAGATAGACAAATATATGCCTCCATACACCATTGACAGTTCAGCGCCATCCATGTTCTGCGCCATTAAGTTACGCATCTCCGCAGAGCCCGGATGTGCGAGTAAACTCCGCAATATTGTTTATCTCGATGCGTTATCTGCCGTCCATACGCAGGTCGCTTCTGCGGAACTTGGCATGAAGTGCGGGTTAGTGGTAGAGAGCAAGAGGGGACGCAATGGTGGTTTGGTGTGGGAGGATCAGTTGTTTGGCCATGGTAACAACGGTTTTTGGTGGGAATATTGTAGAACCTACAGGTAACTTGTCGTGGTTTTACCCGATTGTTCATGCGAATTTGCACAGCAGGCGCCGAGGGGTAGGAGAGTGTTCTATATATATATATATATATAGGTGTAGTATGAGGGTAGGTAGTATATTGGAATGAGCAATCATAGAATTTATATGATAAATTTAAAGAGTCACAAAATTTTGGAATACAATATTTTTCATGGGGTGGTTTGGTGTGATGATTTTTTTTGCCAATAGTGTTTGGTGTTGTGCGTGTTCGGTTTTGTTTGTGAGAATTTTTAATGTGGTTATTTTAAATAGCAAACATTATTTCATGGGGACAATCGGCGGTTAAACGTGCCCAGACAGTTACAGGTCTAGAATATTTCGACAAAAAATGTTGTTACCATGGCCACGGATGACTCGCCCACACCAAAGAACGATAGTGTTCGTCGCTTTACGATAACGCAATCTTCATTCAAAATTTGAGATGATCGAGAAGAACTGCAGCCGTAGAGCTCTCACAACGGGGGGGGGGGGGGGGGGGGGGAAATCTCTGCGGCGCGGCGGGCGGCGCGGCCGGCGGCGGCGGCGGCGCGACGATGCCAAAATCCATAGTATCCCCACGAACTTCGTGCGGGAATACAATAAGTTTACATGCTAGATATATATAATTATATATATATATATATAGAGTGAGAGAGAGAGAGAGAGAGAGAGAGAGAGAGAGAGAGAGAGAGAGAGAGAGAGAGAGAAAAAAAAAAGACAGTGCGAGAACTAAGTGCTAGGATCAGTTGTCTTGCTGCGGATAGTCAGCGTCTATCTACACTTGTGAGCTTGCGGCATGCGGAGTCGATTCTGCTCCGGCAGTCAGCTACTGGTCAGCAGCACGCTGTCGCTACGTCGTCGTCGTCGTCGTCGTCGGCAATCAGCCGACAGTCAATTTGACCAGATCTCCGAAATCGGGCTGCGAGCGCGCTCTCGAATTTTACCTAAATAACGAAGCGAAATGACGAGGAGAGAAATTCCGCGTTGGGCGAAACACTCGGTGGGGCGGAGAGAGAGAGAGACAGAGAGAGAAGAACACTGTTATTACTGTATACCTAATGTTTGATTTAAATGTATGCTTTATTATAAAGTTGAAGCTAATGCTGAGTGTTGTCTTTCAGGAGTAAAATGACAGCTGTTGTACACTTTTCCAACGGGTTGAGCAGGACTATAGAATTAGATTCAGCCATAGACTTTGGAGAGGTAAACAACTACGCATATGGCACCTACTGTCATATTGTTAATTGGTAATATTCATAGCATTTATACTAGTCATCATGATAATTAACTGCTAGTAAGGTCATTTGAGTAAAAAATGTGAAATATGTAATGAATGAAAATTGTATGTTATGAATGTAATGAAACAAGTTTCCTTTATGGCAAGTTTTGTATCAAAATATCAACACATTTCACAGGTGACAGAATCAGTCAAGAGCAAAATTGGAATGGATGCTAAAACAAAGGGTTACTGCATGTATGGCTATCTTGGAACCCAAGGTAATGTTCTATCCAGTCTGTGTCATGTTTCACAACTAAGCTAGGTACAAAGTAAAACACTACGTGATAAAACTTAATTATATTCTTCGTCACCAGCTTTCTTTACCATCATAACTTTCTTTCTTTATGAATGGCAGCATTTTAACACACACTCTGGGCAATAGATCCTAAAATGAAATGTTATAGCTTGTCAGTTACACATCTGTAACTTTTACCTTGGGGAATTGAGCTGCAATCACATAAATAGTGTCTTTTCTCTCCACAGAACACAGTTTACCGAGCAATGAGAATGCTGGGGACAACCTGTACAGGTGTGAGAAACTCTCCAAGGCCAATAAATTGCCTTTTGAGGCAAAATATAATTTCAAGGTAAGACTAATGCTTCCACAATATCTGCTTGTATGGCAAATATAATTCATTCCTTCATGGCAAGTTATAATCTATTCATGGAAAATATGAGATGTTGATTTCTTATACAATATAAGAAATATTGTTATGTGTAAGATTCTTGTATTTTCATGGCTGGTTCTACAGAAACATCTTTTCCTGCAACCTTACGTGAATCAAGATGATCCACTGGATGAGGACTTCATAGACCAGCAGTTGATGAAGAAGCTGAAAGAGGGCTACCTGCTACTTAACTACCATGAAGCTGTAAGCATCCGTATGTCTTTCATCATTGCAGTAGATCTTATATAGTGTTGCGTTCGCCGTTAACTCGTTTGCACGGTTTTATTCTGCAGGTGCAAGTGTGTGCACGGGTTGCCCACGCAGAGATAGGAGATGGATTTCATGATGCAAAAACTTTTGTGTGAGTAGCAAGAATGTATATGGAGTTATGGACTACACTTGCGTGCACACTCTATGCAGCTATCGCTATGAGAGTGGATAGGCAGACTGTGAATGTACCCCCCCCCCCCAAATAATAACTGCTACATCATTATGATAAGGAGTCAGAAAATGCAGTTCTGTATGCCTACGTTGAAACTATGTATCTACTTGCATTGTGCGTTCAGCCTGAAGGAGTAAAGCTGCAAAATTTCATCGTTGGTTATTTTTTTCTCGCAATACATATATTAATAAAGAATACTAGAAATTCTACTGAATTTATTTACACGTACACGTGCACGTACGCACGCATGCACACATGGACGCACGCACTCACGCATGATAGTTCCGAGAGATGCATGATCGATATATATTGGTGTGATTGCAAATTACTTTTAATTCAGTTTCATAACAGCAGCAAACAACTGTCACTATGCATCAGGATAAATTTTCAGCAGAAACCTGTTTAGTATCGATGACCTGATTAGTCAGAGCTGTTTCATTTAAAATGCAAACATTTGCACTACATATCGTGAAATGCAAACGCATGGGAATCGAAACCTCGCTCAGCCTGATTTGTCATAGTAGTTGAAGCCTGAATGATTCATGAAATCTTCGTTTTTCAATGTTCTAGTCCATTTGTTGAGAAGTACATGCCCTCAAGTCTACGCTCGAAGATCAAGATAGATGATATTGTTGTGGAACATAAAACACTGTTCAAGGTTTGCCCACATTTAACTCATTAGCTGATTAAAATATTTGGGCATTCGAGCCATGGTTTAAGTGATGCGTCTGCAGTTTCTGGAAAATTAAAGTGAAGCATCTAGATTAGCTTGGTATAAACATCCTCTTTAAATTCTGTACATTTCCTGTTGAATTATGCACGAGCAATTACAACAATAATTCGGTTATACGCTGTTGACTTGGGTACCTATCCAACCTTGATTCGTGTAATGGATATGTTGACATTTAATTAAAAAATCTATTTTAATTCGTTTATATAAGATGGAAACCGCTGAAGCAAAGAGCCAGATCCGAGAGATCCTACAACGATGGCCTCTTTGGGCCTCAACTATTTTTGAAGTAAAGGTAAGGTCGTAACTTTATTCATTTTGGCTTTCCTAACTGTCTTCCTAATTAGCAAAACGGGATGTTGTCGTGGGTTGTCTGTTTAGCTCATCTGACATAGTCAGATGCAGCTTGTAGAATCGCATGATCGTCCGT